AAGACCTGGGTGTATATTTTGAAAAATAAATCTGATGCCTGTGATACATTTAAATATTTTAAGGCTTATGTTGAAAGGCAAAGTGAGAGAAAAATAAAGTTTTGAGGACTAACAAAGATTAGGAATACATGGTTTGTGATGATTTTTTGAGAAATCCTAGTATTAAACATCAGTTGATAGCCAGGTATACTCCATAACATAATGGTATGGTAGAAAGGAAAAATATAACTATTATGAATATGGTTAGATGCGTGATGAAATCTAAAAACATGCCTAAAAGTTTTTGTATAGAAGCTGTTGCTTGTGCTGTTTATGTTTTGAACAGGTCCCCTACCAGAAGCTTTAAGAGAAAAACTCCTTATGAGATTTGGAGTGGTCAAAAGTCTGGTATTAAGCATTTGAGGGTGTTTTGGTTGTATGCTTATGCCCATGTTCCTGATCCACTCAAGAAAAAAATTGAGCATAAAGCTAAAAAGTGTATTTTTATTGGGTACAGTTCAGTTACAAAAAGGTACAAGCTTTATAATGCCATTACGGAAAAAGTGATTATTAGCAGAGATGTCACTTTTGATGAGCAGGGAGTTTGGGATTGGTCCCAAAAGGAAGACAAGTCAGCCACACTTGTTCCTTTTGATGTTAATGATTCAGTTAGTGATCAACCAATTGAACAATCCCCAACTATTTAATCTCTACAGCCAGAGTCATTTAGACATTCACAGCATAAATGACACATGCCAACTAGATTGGAGGATTATGTGATTGACATTGACAGTGATCCTTCATATGAGTATTTAATAAATATTACTTTATATGTAGATTGTGATCCTATATTGTTTTAGTAATGCTTGTAGGGAGAAACATTGGGTGAAAGCAATGAATGAAGAAATATGTCATTGAGAAAAATAATACATGGGAGCTTATTTTTCTTCCCAAGGAAAAAAAAAAGCTATTGGAGTTAAATGGGTATACAAAACCAAATACAAGTCAAACGAAGAGGTGAATTGCTTCAAAACAAGGTCAGTAGCCAAGGGTTACAAACAAAAACTAGGTATTTATTTTCTTGAGGTTATTGCTCTAGTTGCTAGGCTTGATACTGTTTGTATGATTATTTCTCTTGTTGCTAATAATTCTAAGAAGATTTTTCAAAGAGATGTGAAATTTGCTTTCTTGAATGGTGTCCTTAAGAAGGAAATTTATGTTGAGTAGCTTGTTGGTTATGTGAATAAAGGAGAGGAAAACAAAGTCTATAAGTTGAAAACGACTTTGTATGGTACACTAGGATTGATTCTTATTTTGTGGAGAATGGTTTTCAGAGATGTCCTTATGAATATAGTTTATATGTCAAAACTAATTTTCAAGGAGATATTATTATTATGTTTATATGTAGATGATCTTATTTTCATAGGAAATAATCTTAAGTTAATTGAGAAATTCAGGGAGGCAATGATTTCTCAATTTGAAATGACTGATATGAGTTTGATGTCCTATTTTATTAGGATTGAAGTTAATCAGATAGACATTAGAATTTTTATTTCCCAACAGAAATATGCTAGGGATATCCTTAAACGATTCAGAATGGATTCTTGTAATCCTATTTTGACTCTGGTTGAAGAAAGATTGAAATTGAGTAAAGATGAGAATGGTAAGTTGGTAAATTTCATATAGTTCAAACAATTGGTGGTAAGTTTACGTTATTTGACTTCCACTAGATCTGATATTGTCTTTGGAGTTGGACTTATCAACAAATACATGGGGACTCCACGTCAATCTCACTTGCAAGTAACAAAAAAGATTTTGAGGTATGTTAAAGGTACCCAGAGTGATGGCATTTTTTTATTCTCCTACTGGTTCTTATGAACTTGTAAGGTATACAGATAGTGATTGGGGAGGTGATGTGGAAAAAGTCAAAAGTACTTTAGGGTATTGTTTTCAAATTGGTTCAAGAATTTTTTCCTACTCTTTGAAGAAACAACAAGTTGTTGCTCTTTCTACCCCTGAATCAGAGTATAATGTAGTCATCAATTGTGCTATCCAAGCAGTGTGGTTATGTCGTATGCTTGGATTTTTGCAGTATGCACAGAAAATTCCTTTAAAGATTTTCTATGATAATTAGTCAGCTATTGCTTTGTCAAAGAATTCAATTTTTCATGGGAGAATCAAGCATATTCATGCCAAGTATCGCTATATTTTTGATTTGGTTATTGATGATGAGATTAAAATTTTGTATTGTCGATCTAAGGATCAAAATGTAGATATTTTTACCATGTCACTTAAATCCGATGCATTTATGAAGTTTAAGTGGATGATGAGGATGATTAAGATTGAAGTGTTTGGTTAAAGGGAGGCTGTTGGAATTTTACCCAAACTCTCTAAGTATTTTATTTCTTATTTATTTGGTCTTAATTTATAATTAGATTTTTAATGGGTTTAAGAGTTTTGACCTATTCTAGTTAGCTTTGTTGTGTTTTATTAAAATAAAATAGAATTAGAATTGTTTTATTTATTGAAGTCTTAAAAAGTCTTTCATCCATGTTGTAACCGAAAAAATTAGGGGCAGCAGTCTTGTAGCGGTTTTTCATTTCTTTTCAACCACAAGCCTTCGGCATCTTCTTTTTGTTTCTCTTTGATTTGCCTTCTTATTTATTTGTTTCTTGATTAATTATTTTTGGTGTGAGATTATTTTGAGTGCTTAGTTAATATTATTTTAAGATCATACCCCTTAATTTATTTATAGAGACGATGTTTGGAAGTTTCTCTTAAGCGACCAATGTCCTAGTACTTTATTTGGACACCATTGGGAGAGAGATAGATTGTGAGAATTATTTTTAATGTCTTATCTTTTCACAATTAAATATTTAAATTACATCATATTCTTGTGTTTTTAAATCTCTAAATTATGTAGAACATCTCTTTTAATTATGTACTCTCTATGTATAAATATCAATTTTTATAAAATTTTTTGATTAACTATATTAAAAAATATGCATCGTTATATTTTCAATAAAGTTTTCAAAATTTTTTAAAAACTTCATCAATCTAAAATTATTCATCTTATATGAAAAGATAACATTATGTGTAAAACCCGAGAAAAAAAAATTATTAAAATCCTAATTAAAAGGTAAAATAGTAATAGTTGTTAAAGCACATGTCAAAAATGTGAATGTTTATATAATTCAGATGATGAAACAGACCTTATCGTTGGATTCTTCTCACGAAATCTACCAGTAAATTTTTATAAAATTTTGAGACAGTTGGATTTTTCATGTGTTACAAAGTAATCGGGTGTCACGTGACTAAAATAATTGCGATCATGTTTTATTCGCGGGACTCGAAAAATAATTTAAAATTAGTTCAATAAAAATATATTAAATTTAATGCATGACCAAATTTAATTGATTTTGAATAAAATTGCACCTGTTAAAATTGAACGTGTGGTGCAATATGAGCAAAATATTTGAAACTATATAAAGTGGAAGACTTTGTCTTCCACTTTATTAAGCATTCTCATATTTAGCGAGACAAAGAGAAAGAAAAGGAAAAAAAAAAAGTAAATCTCTTGATTTTCTTCCTCAGGTCTATGAAGATCAAATAGTTAATCGCCTTGAGTCAAGAATTAAAATTGTTCTACATAACGAGAGTTACACAACCATACCAACAATCTTGAAAATGAGAGTTTAGGACTAAGATTTGGGAAGCTAAATTCAGGCTTTCCTTAGAGTTCTACTACGTGAGTTTATGCTACGAGAGGTAGGGTTTCTCCTATTTTGATGTAATTTCAACCTAAAAGATGACATATGAAATGGGTAGGCTAAGGGTGTATAGTACATGCTAGGTCTTGACTAGTATAACTAGTGGGTCAAATATATGATTTATAATTAACCTTGTAATTAGTAAATCCTATTATGATTAACTTGGTGTAAGTTAATGTTAGTAGTTTAAATCATGTTAATTGACATATCAAGTTTAATAAAATTATTAGCTTGTTATGTGATTATGAAATAATATGTATGTTAAATGATTATTTAGCATACGATTAGTGTGGTGGACTTGTGCTTATGTTTATAGAATTAATAAATATGTTGCCATGTTGGAAGTAATAAGCATGCTAGTTATGTAAATTGATGTGGCCTCTAGGCATTTGTTTAAATGCCTAGGTGAACACAAGTATGTTAGTTGAGTTGATTATCTTACATAACATGCTTATGATTATATTGAAAATGTCATTATATTGCATTCATTATGTAATGGACACCAAGCCACTACTAGAAGCAAGGTAGTTATATGGAGCTACAGTCCTTATAGAAGACCACACTAGAATCTCAACTCCTACAGCGGTACAAAGGTTAGCTCTAGTACACATAGAAGTCTCAGTCTGAGAAAGAGTGGGGGCACCACCGGATCCCGCTCCTAGGAAGCAACCTGGCCATCGGACCTCGGTTGAAAAGCACTGGAGGTATCAAACCTTGCCCTCTTGAGAAGAGGGGATGACATTACCTTAGAAGCATAGAGAACCTCCACCTCCAACATCCCTCTATCAACGGGAGTGCCTATAATTAGAGACAAGGTTAGTATAAAAAACTAGCATCGATAAAACATTAAGGAGAAAGCAGGATTGGAGAAACCGGGTTCACCTCTTACCCAATCGAAAGCCATCATAGTCTCCCTCCCTGGAAAAAATTCAGAATGCCTGACAACTGCCTGCCAGAATTCCACCACTGGCGGTTTCACTAATTTGTGTTTAAAACTCAAATTCAAATAGACAGAAGCATTTTGTGGAGAAATTTGTGACCAAACCGCAGACGGCGGTTTGTATGTCGTAGATCTCTAAAAAAATACCCAGATTTGAAAAAAAAAATTGCCTCAGACGGACAACCGTGTGCAAAGTTAGGACCGGTTGAACTTTTGTCGTGCCCAGCACCTTAGGCATCGACTAATTGCCCAGGTGTGTCGACCCAACCCTGTTCGGCGTCACCTTCCACAAGCTCACCGCTTCTAGACGACTAGGTGACTATGGCCACCTCTCCCTTGGGCGCTTGTCTCTTGGATGCCTCCGCCTTGGGCACCTCTACCTTGTGCTCCTCCCTCTTAGGCACCTCCATCCTAGGTGCCTCCCTTTTGGGCACCTTCTTCTTGGGCGCCTCCCTCTTGGACGTCGCCCTCCTGGGCGTCTCTCCCTTGGGCACCACCCTCCTGGGCGCCTCCCTCATGGGCGCCACCCTCTTGGACGCCTCCCTTTTGTGCACCTCTCCCTTGGACGTCTCTCTCTTGGGCACCTTCCTTCTGCATGCCTCCCTCTTGGGTGCCTCCCTTTTGAGTGACTCCCCCTTTGGCTCCTCCCTCTTCGGTATCTCCGGTAACCCAACATCTCCTACTGTCGAGGGCGTCGCCCATGGAGCTGATGCCACCTAACACCTGGGTTTCAAATTAGAAGGACACAATAGTTTTGCTCTCCACTCCGACAGTGCCATCACTCAACACTCATTCGTATCCCACGCCATGGGTGTGGTTGTTCACGGTGTCGTTATTAGCACCAGGGACATCGACCTTGTTGCCTTTTCTGACCACGCTAGCGATGGCGTTCTGTGCCGCCAATTTGCCCTCCAATTTACTTAGGATTGAAGAGTTCTATGGTACTAGCCTTGGGGTTGCCCATGGATTTCCTTAGCTTTGAGGGTCCAGCACAGAAGGTGATCGTTATTGTAATGATGATACAAGATGGGGCAGGAATTTTTACAGAAACAGGGAAGACAAAGAAGCTACCTTGCGGAATAAGAAACTAAGAGCTCACTCATGCCCTCAACTCCCTTTCTCTCGCAAGCAATTGGGGCTTAGGGCATAGGGGGAAAATGATGAGCCCAAATTCAACCGGGACAGACCCAATAAACCAAGTAAGCTCAAGTCAGCTAAAAGGCAAGTCAAGCCCAGTTCGTCCATCTAACTCAGTCCAAGACCCAAGGAGTCCATGAAGAAAAGAGCACATGGGAAGAGATTGTTGGGATACTCACTCTCGAAGATCAAGACTATCATAATTGTACTTATTCGAAGATCAAGACAATCATAATTGTACTTACCTTTTGTAACTATCATCCCCGAAGAATTAGTGCCCTCACACTCACCTCATCGCCTCACCATGCCTATAAATTGTAAGTCTTCTCCACATGAGAGGACATATCTTAGCATCTCACCACACTTCTCTACACATATATAGCTTCTCTCTCCTAGCTGTTATATCTTTCCCAAAGCTAACCATTGTTTTGTTCCCCGTTCACCCTACTTCATCAATAAAGACCCCCGACCATCATTGCCATTTTTTAGAGTGAAGTAGGTCACCTAGACAGAACTACTATAAATCTGTGTGTTGACTCAATATTTACATTACTGTCATTGATTGTTTTATTTATTGTTCATTAATTACACTTTATCACACACTCGACTGTTGATCTTGCAAGAGACTATTTTGTGCATCATCAGGGTTGATCTCTCTCCCCCGTTCACTTTACTTCATCAAAAAGACCCCCCGACCACCATTGCCTTTTTTCAGAGTGAAGTAGGTAACCCGGACTGAATTACTATAAATTTGTATGTTGACTCAATATTTACATTATTGTCATTGATTGTTTTATTTATTGTCCACTAATTACACCTTATCACACACCCGACTGTTGATCTTGCAAAAGACTATTTTATCCATCATCAGGGTTGATGTCGAATTCATACAAATCTCGTAAAATGATTTGGTACTCAATGTAGCCATATGCACCAAGGAGAATGTTATTTGAATATAATTTGGGGACCTAATCATGAAATTTAATATAATGTAACTATTAGAACTCACAACTAATTCAACAATTATATTGAATTAGGTCTCTAAAGATCGTTCATCAGCTAAAACGAAAATTTTTGACTTCATGGAGTATTTTGATTAAATAGCTCTTTCACGGTTACCAGCTTCTCTTTTTTTTTTTTGGATCAGATTACCAGCTTCTCTTCAAACCCCCATAAATAAACATGTAATGCAAATGAAAGGCCTAGCCATTACAATTTAAGATTATTGAAGTGTCTAGCGGTTTTACCTTCGCACATACTTTAGTGGGGTTCCTGTAAGTAATTTGGGGCAAATAATTCCAAAAAACAAGTTAGTGGACTGTCCTAAAGTTTATTAAAGTCATGCCTGGTTTGGGAACCTATATATTCTGCTGGTATTAGGACTTGATTAAGCCTTTTTCAATATTTTCTAGAATTCTTTGTTAATTTTATCATCATTTATAACTAGTGTTTTTCAAATAGGAGACACAATATTTTTTTTTTCGGAAAGTAAAAAAAGTTTTCATTCATTTGAAAAATCTGTGATTTACATCAAAACAAAAAATCAATACAAGCAGTGAAACCCCATTGGTGAGCAAAAGTATGTGGAATTCCTAAGAGGTACCAAGCTTTAGCTGAGTGCCCCATCGGAATTAGCCCTATTCCTAAACAATTCTATGCAAAACAGACTTCATAGCAGGCATGAGGTGGGAAGCTGCCAGGTTAGAAGTAATCTTTTGTTCCTTGGAGTATTCTTGAATTTAAGAGAAAGCATTCTGTCCCTAATGGTTTGGACAATAGCATGCAAGATGACTTTGGAGCGTGGATTTATCCTTCCATGTTTGAACTACTTGATCAAGCAGAAGTTGCCATGAAGTAGTTTTTCATTGTTCACCACATAGAAGCATCAAATGACACTAGATGAACCTTGAGTAAGGGCAAGCAAAGAAGAGATGTTGGTGAGATTCTTGGGAATGGTTGTATAGGCTGCATTCAACCCCAAGTTGGGTAGCATAGGCTAGGGTTCTATCTCTTGTGCTTAGCCTTTGTCTAATTGCCAGCCATAGAATAAAGTTCATTCTAGGTATGCCTTGAGAAAACCATATTAGATGGTACCAAGGTACTCTAGGATGTTGCTCCCTAATCTGTTTCCAAGCGGATGACGAAGAGAAAAAAAAATTGTTATAACCTATCATTAAAAAAATAGTTTGGACAAAGTTATTAATCAAACAAATCAAAAAAACAAATCATTCAACGAAAGAAGCCATCACAAGACATGGGAAAGGGAGGAAGACATGAGGAGTGAAGGGTTAATCTCACTTTGTATTCCGAAAGATATTTCGACTCTCAATTTGTATCCTCAAACAGTAAAAATCTTAATTTGTATCCTCAAATTTTTGAATTGGTAGGAATATGGATCTAATTCAAACTGCTGTTTTGTTTTGCATAATAAATTGAAGCATATGCAAGCGCTTCGAACATGAGTTATACATAAATTCACAAACCATTAGTGCATCACGTAAGTTACACATGATAGAGTTACCTTTTAACTGATTAATGAAACCATATTTTTTAATATACAAAATGGTGTTGAATTGATCGAAAACAAAAATATGCAATAATGGACATATCTTATTCTCATGCCCAAAACACTTGCATCTCACGTATTTTAATTTATAAATTGAGCGCATGTTAGGTCATGTTAGCATTACTACTAATTCATATCATTGAGAGAGCAAATTAAAATTTTTAATGTTTGATGATACAAATTAAGAATCAAAACATCTTTTGGGGTGCAAAGTGAGATTTAGCCTAGGAGCGAATACAATCATTTGTGGGTTTAGTGGCCGCAGACTCACTATTAAACCTTAAAATTGTAGGTTTGAATCTCGTAGTCCTCCTCCCTGTAATAGTGTGTGACCCAAAAAAAAAAAAAGAATACCATCACTTGTTCCAGTAGGGTAAATGAATACCTTGGCTAATTGCATTTTATGATGGAAGAATTGCAATTTTGCACCTCTTCAAGTACAAAAAAGTGAAAGGAAAAATCATCCATGAACAAATTGAACGTTGCCAAGAAAAAACACCTGCAAGCTACAACAAAATAAGTTACAATCACTAACTATCTAATCCGATCTCTTTGAAAAAAACCGTGACATTTTTGTCCGAAGATCCGCCTTCCCTCATTGCTTCCCTCACCAAATCTTTCCATTTCTTAGCATTTCACCTCATTTCTTTTCCTCTTTCTCCACCTCCCATAACCATCTCTATACATTGCTTAAGCTTATTATCCTCGACAGTTCCTTCTCCGTTTGGCTTCACCCTCACCCCCGTCTTCCACACATCTTCAATCATTCTAGCATTGGTCGTTTGATCGGACCAATGAGGAAACGCCACCACCGGAACCCCAGTAACCAAGCTCTCCAATGTAGAATTCCACCCACAGTGTGTGACAAAACACCCCAATGAAGGATGTGATAATACCTCCAATTGAGAACACCATGGCACTATCATCCCTTGTTGCTCCAATTCCTCTATGCAACTTAGTTTATCTTCTTCTCTCTACTCTTCTCCGTTCTCCTTTGCTTTAACTACCCACAAAAATGGCGTACAACTCTTTAACAACCCTCGTGCAATCTCTTCCATTTGCCTCTTTGGTAGAGACAAAATGCTTCCAAACGATACATAAACAACCGATGATTTAGGCTTCGAGTTCAGCCACTGGATATAGGTGTTTGATTTGTCAAAAAGGTCACCCCCAAAAGAAGTGTCGGTTGGGTCTTTTCCATCTAAGAAAGCAGAAGGAATTAGCGGCCCAATCCCAATCAAATTGTACTTATCGATGGCTTTTAAGGCCTCTGGTTCTAGTGCATCGAAAGAGTTAACAAGAATTATTGGTTTGGTTTCTTCATCTACCGTTTCAACCTGCTCTTTAAAGAATTGGAGACGATTGAATTTGTCTGAGTTTGAAGGAACTACAAAGGAGGGAAGGTCATGGGTCTTTACCAATGGCAGTCCTGGTAGCTCAATTGGCCATGATGGGTTTTTGCAATTCTCAACATTGATATCAAAAAAGCCATGAAAGTAATAATAGTATATATCCAAAACTGTGGCTGGTTGAATCCAGAGAAGTGCAGCTGGAATGTGAAACTTAGTAGGAGACCATCATGGGATGAACTTAGTTTGAAGTAAAAGAATTAAAGCAAAATTTCTGTCAACATTAATTATTTGTCTTGTAGACCCAGCTAAACGGATTTGTCTTGTAAAATCATGTTACTCATGTTTGATATTTATCCAATCCATTAATTATTTCTGTCAACATTTTATATAAGTTTCTAGCTGTCTGGCAAATCTGATATGTGCTAATGTACCAAGTGAATATTGATTATTGCGAATAAAGCATATCTTGATTGTCCAATCCCAAGAATTATTGATTTCTCATGTGACTAAATGAAACCTGGTTCCAAACTATACGGATTGGGAGGCATGAGAAGTGTCCAAAAAAAAATAAGGTAAAATTTGGAATACAGGTACACTTTTGTGGGTACCAGTATTATCACGTAATAAATATTGAGTGTAACAACAATACTATGTCATAATCGTTACGTTGTGTTATCATCAAATAAAAATATAATAAGTGAGCATTTGATAACTACCCCACATATGTGAACTAATAAGTGAAAATTGGTCAAAACTCAAACTAGACACTTTTAAGCTATTAAATCTAAGCAATATACTTTCAAGGCATTAAAGACAAGTAAAGTGCTCTTTTTGTCTTTTACTTCAATCTAACTCAAGTTTTTTTAATTACCAGAGTACCCCTTGAGCATGTCACGTTGGTTTCTTTATTTTTTAGAAATTTTCTTTCTCTTCTCCCCCACTTTCGTTCTCTCTCTTCCTTCGCTATCTTTTTCTCTCTTCTCCATTGTTACCAAACAAAAACAAAGATATGGTTTCTCTGTGTGTTTGTGTAAGAGAGAGAGAGTTCTTAGGGTTTGGGTTGGGTCGGATTGGAATCAATGTCCATTTTGACAATGGGTAGCTTGTTGTTTTATTGTTGCTATCAACGTTAGATAATGACATTTGACTATAATTTCTAAAAGTCAAGGCGTGCAGTGTAATAAATCAAAATCTTGCACATATTTGTGTAATTTTCTCTCACATATTAAGATGGGCTTGTATCATTGTAATATGGATTCTTTGGAAGTCGATACACCTAATTAGACTTATTTGACAAAAAATACATAGAACAAAATGTTAATTAAAAAGACAAAAATGTTCATTTTAGGGTCATTTAATTCAAAATCTCTTATTTTTAATGCACCTTGATTCATGTGTGTTTGTTAATACATATAAATACGTATTTAATGCACCTTTGATTCATGTGCATTTATTAATACATGTATATACAATTATATACAATATATTTATTTATATACACGTATATAAGAATATATATATTTGTTGTTAAATCTCTTATTTAAATTTTGAATTATCTTTAATGCACATTGATTCATGCGTTTTTTTTAAAAGTGATTTTTTTTTCAAATTATCTTTAATATACCTTGATCCAAACATTTTTTTTTTGGAAAATAGTTTTATTTTTAAATTAATTAATATCCAAATAATGTAATAGTATAACAATAACAGTGTAACAAATACACTATAACAAAGATAGTGTAACAAATACACTGCAAAAAAAAACAGTGTTCAGTAGTTTTGTGTGTATGGTAACAAATTCAAAACGGAAATAGACTATTTTGAATGAAATTATATACAATTGTATGTTTGACAAAATACAATAGTACAATATTTTGTGTAAATATCTTGTTACACTATTATTGTTATACGGTTACATTGTTAGTGTTACACTTTTATTGTTACACTTTATATCGTTACCCTGTTATTGTTACACTATTACACTATTCAGATATTAAATTAATTTAAAAATAAAATCATTTTCTAAGAAACAAATGCATGAATAAAGGTGTATTAAAAGATAATTCAAAATTTAAATAAGAGATTTAACAACAAGTACATATATATACATAAATACATAAATATATATATGTATTTATGTATATATAAATATATATAAAAGTGGCAATTAAATCATTAATCCAATAGGAAAAAAATTCAGCAACCTTGTTAACCTTAAGAGATGCAAGGTTTCTAGAATATGAACCCATTATGTATATATGTGTGTGTGTATATATATATATATAGATTAAACTTCTCTCATAAAACTAGAAGATGTTTAATACACCACTTTTCAAAAAAAAGTGGTGCATTAAATACACATGAATTAATAGAGGACAAAAATGTCACAATAAAAATAGATAAATTCAAATTATGTACTTTGATATAAATAAGTATTAAAATTAAGTATTTAATAACCCTACATTTTTTAGTATGTACTTTTTACCAAATAAGTCTAATTTGGTATACCCTTTACAATTTACCCTCATTAATATATTAGTCTGCAAATGGATCCATATTCAAAATGGGCCTCCACTTGCCCATTTTAAGTCTACCCCAAGTCAAACACATGGGAGACAGAATGATTTGGGATTACAAATCTGACTTGCACATATCAAGGAATTTCATTGCTCCCTTTACCTTCCCGAGGAATTCTTTAATTAGCCCCAAAAAAGACCTGCAAATTGAACTATTTATGACATTTCATGTGCACACATAATGAAATGTTATGACAACTGAATTTTTGGTACATTAGTGAATTCGAATTTTGAATTATGTGTTGAATCTTGTGACCTGCCTAGTTTTCTGGTTTATCCTCATGAATATTTTAGTTTTCGTTGAATGATTTGTTTTTGACCGGATTCGGAGAGAGAATTAATCGAGATGCGTATAAATTAATCTAGACACCTCTTATTATTAAACCAAAAGAAAATAAAAGAAATCTATTATGCCCATATTTCGATCTGTCCCATTTAATGGATCATGAAATTGGACATTGAAATTTCAATTTAACTATCCAAAAAAATTCTTTTTTTTTTTGTCAATTCCTTCAATTTAGGTTTAATTCACTGTCCAAGACATTGAGATCGAAACTTATTTTACTGTCATCATTAGAACTTATTTTACTACCATCTAGAACAATGAAAAACACTCAATTTCATTGACATCTAGGTGGTTGTGTTGTGGTGATTGGATATTTCATTGTCCAATTTTAAATACTTAAATTTAGATTTCATTTAGACTGTCTTTTTTTCTTTTTCTTTTTTTGCAAAACTAATGGGTGTTTCACTATCCAAAACATTTATTACACCATCTTGGGGATTGAATTTGATGATGCACAAAAAGGTTTTACACACCACCTGTAAAGTGTAAATAATAAATGCAGTAAAAGTAAAGAGAGAATTGGAGAAGACAAGATTTATAGTGGTTTAGTCAGCTTGACCTACATCCACTCTTCAATGGCTCTACTTGCCGGGTATTTTATTAACTCAAGGGTGTGGGGAGCAGAGAGTACAAACTTTGAGAGAGAGAAGAGAATCGTGCTAAGGTAAGTGTGATGCCCAGGTAAAGGTGTGGTGCGATCTCTGCTCTGATCTCATCTGCCTCCCAAGTGTTAGTGGGGCTTATAATTTATAGTCGCTCTCCTAACAGATTTAAGCAAGGTATTAGCAACTACATAACTATTCTGGTGGAGCTCACGACTTCTCCTCAACGGGCTAGGCAGTTACGATACTTTCCATGGGATTTGGTCAAATGATGACATGGATGTTGACTCTTTTCAAGGGGAAGAGGATAAGACTCTTAGATGACCCGTACTCCAAGGTGGTAGAGGAGGAAAGTTGGGCGTCACCAAGAGCTGGAGGTGCAGCTTGGGATGCCTGGGCATCAGGAGCTGGAGATGCAGCTTGGGTGCCGGGGCATCAGGAGCTGGAAGTGTAGCTTGGGATGCCTGGGCATCAGGAACTGGAGGTGCAGCTTGGGTGCCTGGGCATCAGGAGCTGGATGTGCAGCTTAGGTGCCTGTAGGATGGCCTTGCATGCTGCTACTAATATAACTCATGGAACTTGATGAACTTGACCGAGTGCAAACTCCTTTGGGCTTGGCTAGCCGGACCTTTTGAAGTTGGGTCCTTGGGCTTGTAACATAAGTTGAGTCCTTGGGCTTGTAACATGAGTTGGGCCCTTGGCTTGACCCATCATTTGCCCCTCAATGCCCTGTGTCCAACAGAGCTTGGGAAGGAGGGCATTCATTTGCATCTTGAGTTTTGGGTGGTGGAGACTTCCTTTGCTAGTGGACTCTTCCCTTGCATGATGCATTTTTACTTTTGGTGCACACTTGATGTCGTTTGGAAGAGGTGGAGTGAAAAGCTTCATTGGTGCCATGGGGGTGGCGAAATTGGAGCTGAATCCAACAGTCATAGAGCTGCAAGGATTAAAGGAGTAGGGAGAGGGAGATCCCCGCTGGCCGCCGCTACTATGGGGGCGCACCAACAGCTCGCAAGGGGGCCTGTAGGTGCTGTTCTAGGCGCTGGTCTGGGCACCCCATGTGTGGGTTTGGGCAATTTTGGCATGGCTTCCAACTTGGGTAGGCATGCAGGAAAAAGGATGGACTCCATAGGCTAGATGAGTAGCGAAGTAGAGGCTATCTTGGGTAGTTTTGGCGCGCTGGTTCGGCTGTCTTGAATAGCTCAGGTAACAGCTTAGGTGCTGGCACTACTGTCCTGGGCAGCAATTTGGACGCTGTTTCTGTTGTCCTAGACAGCTCAGATGCGCTAGACAGCAGTATTTTTTCAGCAAAAAGTGCAGAAAATTGACCCAAGGAGCAGCGGGGAGAGCTGGGCAGCAGCCTGGGTGCAAGGGCAGATCTGGGCGCCACTCCAGGCGCTGATTCGGACACTGTGGGCGCTAATTTAGGTGTCAAAAGTGTTGTTTTGTGTAATTTTAAAGGGCCAAACACCTCTCCAGCTGATGGGCTACTCCGTTTTGGGTTGCCAAGCAGTCAGGTAGCCCTCCAAGTGTTGGGTTGCCAAGCTTGGATGAGCAAAGGCGGTCAGGCGCTTCTCCGGATGCTAGGTTGCCTCGTTTGGGTGAGCAAAGGTGGTCAGGCATCTCTCTGGGTGCTGGGCTGCCTCATTTGAACGAACATAGGGTGTCAGATACCTCTCCAGGTGTTGGGCTGTCTCATTTAGACAAGCATACACCTCTTTAGGTGCTAGGCTACCTCGTTTAGGCGCCTGGGTGGTTCTGGGCTCTTGGGAGGTGTTGGGTGCCTTGAATGAGCCTGGGACTGCCTTGGAAGAGCCTGCTTGTGAAGACCAAAACAACGTCTTTCCAAATATTAAAAAATTTCACATAATTACTTGTACAGAGAGGTAGGCTGCTTGTACGAGAGCAAAGACAGAGTTGGAAAACTGTTCGTGAGGGAGCTACACCTTTTGAGATCTAGCTTTAGGCGACCCATGAGAGAGTCTTTAAGTTTGAGGTATAGGCTGTCTGTTTAAGAACAGTGC